CACAGGAAGAATGCATGAAGTCAACGACTACACTGAGCTTATGGACTTTAAAGCAGCTTGACTATCCGATAGTATGTATACGAGTATATTTCTATCTACTTCTAGACAAGCTATAGCTTGCCTTATAGCAATCACTTCTACCTGAAAATCACTAAAATGATCTGGGAGCCCATAATAAGAGGATGTATTCAGTCTTTCTACGCCACTCCTAGTTTTTAAACCATCGGTAAAAATGATTAGACCCTCCCCCAAGGATGGGACCCCTGATAGCTAAACATTTTTGGATGGGAATTTAATAGTGAATTTCCTTCATTTTCTCTTCAATGTAAAGTAACGTGAACAGATTTTATTGGATTTATTTTATTTTTCTTTAACCAATCCAGCAAGTATGTATCTGCCTGAACTATTGTATCGTAATCATATATTAATAAATTTTTTTGGCAATCGATAGTTTTGTCTTTATAAGGAACAAAACTATCGACAAGAATATGAGTTTAGAATATGGATACCTATGAATTAGGTTGAAACAAAAATAGATCTAATTATAAGATATATTTTATGGTATTGTTCATTAAATCCTATTTTCTTTTACTATTTTCTTAACTAATAAATATTTCTTTTTCTATAGCATATCGTACAAATGAGGGAAAACCTTGGGTATTACCAGTGGTTCGAGCGACCGAAAAAAAGATTGCAAGCGATGAAAAGATTAATCACGAGTACTTATCAGTTTTAGGTATGTTTGATTATAATATAAAAAAAATTGTATACAATTATCTATAATTGTTAATAATAAAACTATAGGGAACGAAATGTTTAGAAAAGCTGCGACTGCTCTGCTATTGGGTGACAACTCTAAAGCAGTACAAGAAAAACGGGTAATTGATCGTATATGTTGTATTAACATATTGAGTTTAATACTAATAATAATAATAATAATGAACTTTTTTAACTTATTTAACCCTTATAGGTATTTGGAGTGCAAACATTGTCTGGCACAGGAGCTTTACGTCTTGGAGCCGATTTTCTAACTAAAATAATGGGTCGTACTGATTTTTACTGTTCTGATCCAACTTGGGAAAATCATTCAAAAGTTTTTTTGGATGCTGGTTTTAAGAATGCACATGAATATCGTTACTGGGATTATAAGAAACGTATTATTGATATCGACGGATTATTAGAAGATTTATGCCAGGCACCAGAAGGTGCTGTTATTATTTTACATGCTTGCGCTCATAATCCAACTGGCATGGATCCATCACAAGAACAATGGAAGCAAATTGCTGATGTAATTGAGGGCAAAAACTTATTCCCATTCTTTGATTCAGCATATCAGGGTTTTGCTAGTGGAGATCCAGATAATGATGCATGGGCTGTGAGATATTTCGTTGATAGAGGTTTTGAGCTTGTATGCTCTCAATCTTTTGCCAAAAACTTTGGTCTTTATTGTGATTAAAAAAGACAAAATTATGAATTAGTCATTTAAATATTTATTTTTTAAGGTGAGCGTATTGGTAATTTAACAGTGGTACAGCAAAGTCCCAAAACAACTGCCGCTGTTCAATCACAATTCACTTTGGTGGTACGCGGCGCATATTCCAACCCACCAGCGTTTGGTAGCAGAATCGTTGGAACAGTACTTAGTGATCCAAAACTTAAAGGAGAATGGTAAGATAACTATTAGAAATAAGTAATAATAGCATATGCAATATAAAATTGGATCGGTATCAAATAGTTGAAAACCGTTAGTAATTGACCATATTCCGAGATGTGTAATGCCCTATAGAAGGGATCACTATAAATATTTATTTTAAAAAGTTCTGTTTACTTTTTTTAATACAACTTTTATGTCCTCATTTTAATATTGAACTTATGTTAACTTTTTTTTAAGGATGGAATCAATAGCAACCATGTCATGCAGGATTCGGCAAATGCGTGAAGCTTTAGTTGAAAATTTAAAGGCACTGAACACTCCTGGTAACTGGGATCACATTGTGAAACAAATTGGAATGTTCTCATACACTGGATTAAATGGTTTGTTTATATTAATTATATTTTAACATTATAGGAATATTTGTTTATACGATTTTTTATATTTACAGAGCAACAAGTGGGTACTCTTATCAAAGATTTCCATGTGTATTTACTTAAAACGGGACGAGTCAATATGTGCGGCGTAAATGATAAGAATGTGAAACATATTGCAAAAGCCATTAATGCTGCAGTATCTAAAAAGTAATATTTCGATATAGTAGAAAAGAACTAATAAGCTTCTGTATGGAACAACTCATGAGAAGAAGGAGGTGTAATATGGTTTATGAATGACTCAAAGCGCATATATGTTAAGCATTCAATGCCTATGGTAGAACTAGTAAACAAAAAACTAAAATACTTGAATTAATTATATCAGGAATGTCCAATTCTGAATCTCATTTTGACTACAAATAAATATTACCAATATCCGTCTTTTAAAAGTTCTAAATTAATAAGCAAAATTGTAGATTTAATAGATTGAATATACAGATTTCCAGATATTCAAATAACATTAATAAAAAAAAAAATATAAAATAAAAAATAAAAACAAGTGTAATGTATTGATTTAAACCATAATATTATATTGGATGAAGTATTATTAAGGTATCAAAATATTTATCGTCCAGCACTCCATCATCTTCATTTTGATTTATAACATTATTATATCTATTGTAAATAGCATAGGAATTGCATAGCATAGGAACACATTGATATAAAGATGTGCTGTAAATTCTTGATTTAGTCTTTTTATATATAGATTAGATCTAACAATGCCCAACCCGATATCTATATTTAATTTAATTTCGTCTACCTTAGGAATTGAATATAACACATTGATATAAAGATGTGCTGTAAATTCTTGATTTAGTCTTTTTATATATAGATTAGATCTAACAATGTCCAACCCGATATCTATATTTAATTTAATTTCGTCTGCCTTTATCTTTATTGACTATTTGTATTATTGCGAGCGACGAAATAAATACTCTCATTTTTATTTTACAATTAAAATATGATACTAAAAGAACATTTAATGCATTACTGAAATATAAGTTGTAAAATTATTATGCTCCCTACCAGTTGGATATTATATAAATTATTTACTTATCTTAAAACACCTTTTGTTCAAATACAACATTGCGTTATAATTATAATTGTAATAAAGCTAGTTTCATACCTTAATTAATTTTAATTAACGCTAATACTGGATTCATATCAGAGTTTTGTTTGTAGTTTTAGTTGTCAAAAATTTTCATTTTGCATTGAAAGCAACAACAATTGACATTTAAAATTACAAACATGAAAGCTAAAATTACAAACAAAACTGTTGTGCGAATTCAGTATAATGAAGATTTTACGTTCGTGTAAAAATCAATTAGAAGTGAAAAATTAAATAAAGTCAAATGATTTTAAATGTAGATGTATATATAAAAAGAAAATTAAATTACTTATGAAGATAAATGCTGCACATGAGATGGGATATGTATATATATGCTTAAATATCTTAAATGCATTAACCTGTTAGTGATTGTAATTGTTCATATTTGTATTAGGTGGTATTTATTTTGATACAAGTGTCATTTTATTTATACTATATTACTATAATATTACGTTTACGATTAAAATGATTGAACTTCAGCAAATTTTTAAAAAGTCGCTGATGAAGTTGATTAATACCATGTTTCCACTTGTCTTATTAAAGCAGTTTTGCTCATTAAGGCTGATTATGAGAATTATTTAAATACAAAGAGCTTTTATATTAATGAGCTCATTATAAATGAATTAACTGATTTGAGGTGAAAATTCTGGAAACATAATATAACCGTATTAAGAGCTTTCTAACTTAGTTAAGAATTAATTAAGCGAAATTACACTAAAAATACCGAATGCAGCGTGGCATAATATATTTTTAAAGAAAGAAACGATTGAAATGTGACAATAAATAAAATATACATAAAGAAAAATTCACACAAACTAGAGGTAAAAATATTTTAAAATCTTTGCTTTTTGTGAATAAAACATATATTGGTGTATATCAAATCATTATACAATATAATTTTACAATAAATATTGTTTAACAAAAGTTCGCCTTGAACTTTTACTGAGCTTTTTGACACATAAAAGCTCTTTTATATGCATAAACCAACTTCTGCCCATGGAAACTAAAGCATGATATCGACGATGCTACATGTATTGCAAGTATGCAGTCCAAGTATGCGCTTTGCTAAACACTTTGAATCGATGTAGTTTTACTGCATACATGTCTGCAGATCAGAATTTAGCATGCTTACCTGAATATACACAGTGCGATTTGGTAGCACAGCATACCTGGTTTGTATACATGTAGTATCGTCTATATTATGCTTAATATATCTTAATTTGATTTACATTTGGTTTAGCTGCAGTGGGAATATGTTATAATTTTCGGGTGTGCTTGTTAAAGTAATAAAATTGTGTTTATTTATTTTTATGAAAATGCAATGTCACTGAGTTATCGAATTATTAAGTTACAGCCTTAATTTGATAATTTTTTCGGTATATCTGATTTTTATTATTGTGTAGTGTTGTACGATATTTAACTTTAATCTAAAATTAAGTATCTTGAAAAATAATAAATAAGATTTATTTGAATTAAAATTTTATTTTTGCAAACGGTTTTATGTTAAACGCAACAAGGATCAAAATCCGCTCTTTATCAAATAATTTTATTACATTAACTAGCAATTAAATTTTATTTTAACGTCATTATGACGGCAGTGACATTATGACAATAGTGATTATATTTAATAAAGCGACAATTCATTGCTTTTCAGTGAATTACAACAAAATTTTTATTTATATTATTTTAAATATTTTTTGAGACTGGAGATATCAAACGTTTATCATTTTATCATTGCCAGCGATGTTTGCATAAAATTTTCGCCTACATGCTGAAAATTTGTTAGATGACTATAAATTATTGTGAATGTTCCTTGTACAAAGAAGAAGCAAGTCTGTCAAACAATTTTGATGGCACAATGGCAAAGAGAAAATTATTAAATTTTTAAATAAAATATATCTTCATAGAGATATATGTTTACGGGTTACTCTCTGATATATATAAATGTAATTCAAATTTTTGCACGTTAATAATTTGTCTCATTGTTTAAATTGTAACTTTAAATAATGAATCAAGTTTGCCGCCAGCAGAGAAGACATTACGTTAGAAACGTCATCGCTTTCATTTTTAGCTTTTACGCAAATTATACTTTGCACTGCAATTCTTAACTCACTCAATTTCGCTGTTAGTAAAAGTTGGGCCGCCGGTTTGTGTGTTTCTTGATTAATTTTGGTCGGGTGTTTATTTTCAAACATTGCTAATTAATAACATTGCGCTACGCAATTAAAGCATTAAATTCATTCATATTTTTGGCATAATTTTTTGCTTCGAAAAAAAATTTTCGTGGTTACCACAATTTTAATAACCAAATTCCAATTCCTGAAATTACACTGAACCAATACAAGTCCAACATGTCATCTGTTTTCGATGGTGTCAAAGGAGGGCCAGCAATTGAAGTTTTCGCCTTAAACAGAGCCTTCATTGAGGACAAAGACCCCAATAAGGCTAATTTGGGAGTAGGAGGTAAGTGAGACTTTTATGAGAATGAGATTTTTATATAATTTTCCATCAAAAGAAAATAGAAAGAAGCGTTTACATATACATTTTCCTAAAGTGAAGACATTTTTTTGACGCTTTGGTTACGTGACTAAATATTGTCATTTTTAATAATTCCATGCTCTAAATGTGTGACGTTTTAAGGTCATATTAAAGGTCAAATAAGATTTTGTTTTATTCTGCTTATTTGTTTATAATTTTCATATTTGTTTGCTGCTCCGCAATAGTATTAATTTCTAAATATTCTGCGCCTCTTGTATTTGCTGACGACAATTGAAAAGTTAGAATAATTGTGACAATTGATTCACATCCTATTGAGATGAGAGCTGTGTTAAGTACAGTAATCTCTGAATAAATACAATAATCAATAAAGTGTGGTTCAAGCTGAATAATATTAATTATTGTAATGTTTTTCAGTTTGAGTTTATTGTGTATTACTTCACTTTCTAATAAGTGCTCGAATAATACCAAGAAACTAAACTCACCTCCATATTTTTTTCTTTTAATATAGATTTTAATTAAATTAGAAAGTATATATGTTGTTATTTATTGTTGTTAGTAAAATTATTTTTTACTAAGTAATTCATAATAAATTCACAATTTGTTATTAATTATTTATAGAAACTCGCGATTATGACCGAAAAGGTCGTCAGTCGGAAGTTAAGTTAAAATTGTTAATAAAAAGAAGTTCAAAAATTAAACGCTAATAATAAAATAAATAATAATAAATAGAAATATTTTAATTAAAATTCTAAACATATATTGAACTTTCGTTTTCTTGTCTAATCCATTCAAACTAAATTATGTGTTCCTCCCAATAAATCTATTAAGCTAGAGACTGAGCGATTAGAGTTCCGAAAGAGACTATTCAACTCTTTTATAAAAATAATTTTCAAAAAATAAAAACTTTGTTCCGTCACAAAAGCAAAAACAAAATAATATTTAATAAGTAACATGATATGAATGTGAGTTAGATTAGGTTAGGTTAAAGGTCGCAATATTTCTAGTATTACTAGTCCGAGATACCATGGACAAGTGTTATGCATACGCAGACTAGAAGCTCCCCCAAAACGAACGTACAACGCTTCGATTGTCAAGTGAAAATAAACCAACTTGGCAAGTCTATAAAATTGGTCAAAAATGTAGGGTTTACGAAGATGTAGATATGGCTTAATATTATAATAAAACAATAATAATATGATAATACAATATACATAAAATCTTCCTTCTATCATGTATTTTCTCGAAATCGTCTTTTAAGCGAGCTCCCTATGACTTTTTTCTTAAGAATGAAAATTTATTGATTAATCTTTATATGCGTTTGCAAATTTGTGAAAAATCAGTGAGTAGTTCGCTTCAAAGGTCGATTACTGAAAAGGGTGCGTAATAAATGGAAAATATTTTCGGTGAACATTATAAAAAAAATTTTCCTGATAAAATTCAAGAAAATGTTTATTAACCACCATAATTTACGAATCCATTTGAATTTAAAGAAATATTAGGCATCACATTAAAAGATTTTTAATAGATTAAAAATTTACTTTTGAAAGTATTGGGTGTTCTATTATATTAAATATTACTTTTTGCTAATACTGGTGATATCGGATAAACACTTACGAACACTTACGAGTCTAGAGGAGATGAACGCCATCTGTCAAATACCATGCAGTACCAGATTAGATGAGTGATGTTTTCTTTTTCTCTCCCTACACCTGTAAGAGGCAAGCATTTCGACCAGTTATGGAGAGGATATTAGATATCTAGTAAATTGAACAATTAATGAAA